AATCCATAAATGGATTTCTCAAGCTTACAAAATCTATTAGGAAACTTTGCATGTACAAAACCCTCTGGATGGCTCATGTAAACATCCTCGGCCAACTTCCCATTAAGGAAAGTAGTTTTGACATCCATATGCCATATTTCATAATCATGAAAGGCAGCTATGGCAAGCATTATCCTGATAGACTTTATCTTAGCCACTGGTGAGAAGTCCTCATCATAGTCAATCCCTTGGGTTTAAGTAAAGCCCTTCGCAACTAGTTGTGCCTTGAAAGTGTGTACCTTTCCATCCATGTCGGTCTTCTTCTTGAATATCCATTTGCACCCAACTGTCTTCCGACATGGTACATGATCAACCAAATTCCAAATTTAGTTTTCATACATAGACTGGATCTCACTATCCATTGCCTCTTTCCACTTGGCAGCCTCAGGGATCGCCATATCTTCCTTGTAGCTAGTTGGCTCATCCAAATTTACCAGTGTACCATCATTGATAAACGTGTCACCATATGACATTATATGGAAACCATAGAATGTAGGTGGCATGCTAACCCTACTGGATTGACGAAGAGGTAATGAATTTTCAATGGGATCAACAAGAGTCTCATCCTCTGGTTGAGAGCTAGTGTCTTCTAAGGTTCCTTCATTGGTTGACTCCTGAATATCTTTAAAGTCAATATCACTCCCACTGTCCTCTTTGAATATGATTTCTCTCTCGCGAAAGACTCCTCATCGAGCTACAAAGACCATGTTCTCACTAGGTCTGTAGAGAAAGTATCCAAAAGAATTATGTGGGTAACCAATGAAAATACGCATCTTACTTCTATGTTCTAGCTTCTCATGATTCTCTCATCTAACGAAATCTTCATAACCCCAAACCTTGATGTGGGCTAGCAAGGGAACTTTCCATGTCCACATCTCGTAAGGTGTTTTGGTAACCTTCTTAGTATGGAGAAGATTAAGGATATGGGCAGTTGTCTCTAAGGCATACCCTCAGAAAGAAATAGGAAGAGACGCTTGACTCATGATGTAATGAACCATGTCTAACAAGGTCCGATTACACCTCTCACCCACACCATTAAGTAGTGGTTTCCTATGAGGAGTCAATTGTGAAACTATTCCACATTCCTTAAGATAGTCGTGGAACTCGATACTAAGATACTCTCCGCCTCTGTCAGATCAGAACATCTTTATCTTCCTGACCAATTGATTCTCGACCTCGTGTTTAAATTCTTTGAACTTTTCAAAGGTTTCTGATTTATTTTTGATTAAGTAGATATATCCATATCTGCTATAATCATCCGTAAATGTCATGTAGAGTCGATTAGCATCCCTTATGGTAGATCTGAAGGGTCCACACACATCTTTGTGTATGAGATCCAACAAACCTTCACCTCTTTCACAAGACCTAGTGAAAGGTGATTTTGTCATCTTACCCAAAAGACAAGACTCACATTCATCATCTAACCTTAAGTCAAATGATTCCAACACCCATACTTTTGGAGTTGGGCGATATGTTTCTTGTTAATGTGTCCAAGACGACAATGCGACAAGCATGCTTTGTCTACACCATTAGATGAATCAATGTGAAATAACTATTTCCCAATTTATCAACACAAGTCAATGTTTCATACACACCATAAAAAGGTAAAGCTTTAAACATAAAAAACATTTTTATAAGCTAAAATCGATTCATTCAAATCATCAAAATAATATCAAAAACCTTGTCTGAACAATGCATGAAAAGAAATAATGTTTCTTGTCATTTCTGATGAATAAAAAAAATTAAAAAATCAATCCTAACATCACCACTAAGCAATAGACTATAAGTTCTTATCAGATTTATTCTACCATGCTCCATTTCCTCATCTTCTTTTAATCCCTACAAATCAAAACAAATGTGAAAACCACAGCATGTATCAAGGACCCAAGAACGAGTAACTTGTAATTTATCGACTTGAATAGTGTATATACATGCCGACGATGGCTTGAATTTGCCATCCTTTATGTCCTGAAAGTACTTGGCACAACTTCGTTTCCAGTGGCCTTTCTCGTTGAAATAAAAGCAAATGGCCTCTTTGAGATCACTCACAAATGGAATATCAGAACTGGGATTAGGCTTGGACCCACTGCTAGACGATACAACATGGCCCTTTCCTTACCAGTTTGATTGAGGATTTTCTTTCCTCTTCTTTCCCTTGCTTTGACCAATGTCTAGGACTGGAGCACTTGTTGCAAAAGGGACTTGATTCTTTTTCATCCCTGATTCAACTATCTATAACAAGTTGTAGAGTTGGGTCAACGTAGTCTCTTTGTTGTTCAAATGATAAGTCAAAAGGAATAGATCATAACTTGGAGGCAAAGAGTTAAGGACCATGTCTAGGGATAACTCTTTGTCAAAAGACACGTTGAGATTTTCCAGTCTCTCCACATATCTCTGCATTCTCTACACATAATTGCAGACAAATTCTCCATCCTTCAGCTTGCAAGCCATTAATGCCTTGACGACCTCACACCTTTCTTGACGTGCTTTCTTGTGAAACTTTTCCGCAAGATCCAAGCACATATCATACGACCAATAGTCCTCATAGAACTTTTACGACTTTGGTAGCATGGTTGCAACCATTATGCTAGCGATCTTTGTTGTGTTGTCATAGTTTTTTTTGTACGTGGCATGTGCTTCTGGAGTAGCAGTTGACTCGTCGATTTCGAGTAGAGGTTTATCGAGGACATATTTTTTTGCCCTCATATCGAAGAGTCATTTTGAGATTTCGCATCGAGTCCATGTAGTTTAGACCAACTAATTTCTCTTTAGATTGGATCGATAGTAGAGTGAAGTTGTTGTGGGTGGTGGAGGTTTGAGTAGCAGTAGCATCACCATTAGAAGTAGACATCTATAGGAGAAGAAACGTTTTAGTTATTTGATATGAATTCTTTAATATTTTAACGCATAATAAATATTCAATGCTAGGATCCAATATAACAATTCACAACTAAGAAGAGGGATACTGTAATCTTATTGCGAATTTACGAAGGTAGGTAAAACAATTCACCAATTTCAATCTATGAAATTCCAAGATCTTTTTAAGATTCACGGAATCTTATCAATGGCATGTTTAATCTTAGATTATGTTCTACTATATGTGACTGCGATGCCGATGATCACAAACAACATGTGAATAACTATGCAAACACGCTTGGCAACCTTGATGCCATTTATCATCTCTAATTAATGTGTCGGTTAACTACACACTCTTCATTAACAATGATAATTTTCGAGATGCCCATCATTTCTCTTTAAATTCCCTATTAGTGTGTCGGTTAACCACATACGCTCCAATAACGACATGTAAAGTATGATGTGGATTTTCATGGATTAGCATATTTTTTCATATTTTTCCTAAAGTAACTAGAGTGGGATTTTGTTAAAGAAGGTTTTAGTACTTTTATATCATTATACTTTTAATGAGATTATGTCCTATTAAACTCATTCGGCTAACGAACCTCCACCACACAGGAGATCGGTGGGTGAGAATAGACACCCATCCAATGGTCATTTTATAGGTCGCTTCCTTATACCCTCTTTATAGCATGGTTTTATAAATGAGGCCTACTATTGATTCGACTGATTTTTCTTATACATATAGTGTGTGTGTGTGTGTGTGTGTGTGTGTGTGTGTATATATATATATATATATATATATATATATATATATATATAAGGTGTATTTTAAAACATTTCAAAATACAAGGTTTAAGCTTTGAATTATCTAAATTAAACTTTTTAACTTAATTAAATTTAAAACAATTATGATTTAATTTTATCCTTTAATTAAATATTAATTAAATTAATTTAAATTATTTATGGATTAAATAATTATTTACTATTAAACAATTAATCAAATAATTCAAATTAAATCCTAATCCATTACCCTATCTAATTTTTGAAAATTAGGATATGGTTTATCAAATTTTAATTATTCTATTTTAAGGCTTTTAAAACAATAATTAAGGAAACTAGATAAACCCTAACAACCCTAGAAATTTTCGAGATTTAAGGGGTGGAGGCTAGGGTTTGAAGAACCCTATCCATTTTCGAAATTTCAAACCTTTAGGGGGTGTTTGGTAGAGAGAATTAGGGGCAGAGAAATGGAATGTATTCCACTTCTCTTGTTTGGTTAGTATTTAAAAAGGAGAGAATGAGAAATAATTTAATTCCATTTCTACCTAATTAATTCTCTATATTTTATAGAGAAAATGGGAGAGACAACTTTTGCCAAATAAAAAAAAAGCGGAGAATTGATATCACGCTTGTATCCATCAATAGGGTATCACGTTCGAATCTTCCCATCAACAATTACGCTTCAATATAAGTTGATCTATTCCCTCACTTGCGTAAACCTTCACCATAAACCCTACTGTTGCGTTACTTCTACCCCCATCACGTCAAATTCTTGTTGATCAAACGCTACTCCTATTTCTACTATTGCTCAATTGAAGGTGTGATTTCTTCTTTATTTCTTTTTCATCAATACAATTATACGTGTGTATTTTTATTTGGTTGACGCCTGCGCTTTTTATATGGTTCCAATTTGCTTTTTTGAAAAAGCAATTGTTCATAGGAATACTTTTTTGTTAATCGTTTATAGATACTTGATTTTATGGTACATAGGATTTCATATGGTTGTTTTAATATTGCATTAATTTGGAATTACAATGATTTCGACAGAGGTGTTTTAGTATGCATTAATTTTCAAATTTTATATGTGCACTTTTATACGAATACCTATAAGTAATTTAAGTTTTCAACTTTTTCATATTTCATTCTATAATAATACATATATGGCAAATGTGTCACTTTAAATGAAGATTAAATAATCCAATTTACGCTAGTGGATCAAATCCTCACTTTTGTTGAAGAATGTATATGGTGTATGAGTTGTTAGGAATATTGTCTAATATTTCAGCATTGTTGTGTTTTTTTCCTTCATTTTTTTTGTAGGCATGGCAGGGCGAAGGAAACACACATGGACTACTGAAGAGGATACAAAGTTGATTGAAGCATTGTTGGAGTTACATGTATCCGGAAAGTATGGTGGTGCTGACAATGGATTCAAACCCGGTTATTTGAAGGCAGTGCAACAATTACAAGATGTAAGTCGTCCTAACTCGGGTTTGAAAGCAGAACCTCATATTAAATCGAGGATGAAAACATGGAAAAATCATTTCAACATCGTACACGATATGGTATATGGAACAAACACAAGTGGATTCGGCTGGGATACGAATAAATGTTGTGTTACCGCTGATGCTGAAGTTTGGGATGAGTACATAAAGGTACTATAATGATTATGTTTGTAGTATTTTTATCATTATTAAAACGGATTGTAAATGTATACTAACCAATTAATTTTTTGTTTTTCTTGTAGAGTCATAAAGGTGCTGCATGTTTTCGCGATAAACCATTTCCCCAATTCGATAACCTGTGTAAAATATTTGGTAAGGATAGAGCTGCTGGTAATGGAGCTACTGATCTTGGAGAAGAAGATATGACTGAAGAGACACAAAGAAACTCACCTGTTGATGTATAAGGGTTGGAAGATATTGTTGAAGAGACACAACAAACTACTCGTGTCAATAGTAAACGCAAACGGCCTCCAACGGATGACGCCGAAAGCTCTTATAAGGAAGCAGCGAAAGAAATGAAAGAGACTTTCAAGGAGGTTGGTGAGAAACTTAATGAAACAATATACAATATAGGAAAGCAAGAAAACAAGGAAGCATGTGATATGATAGATAAAGTTGTTGAAGATATACAACGCATGCCAAATATTAATGTCGTACAGCGAATTAAGGCGATTGACATATTTAGCAAAGATCAATTTCGCGCCCGAGCGTTTTTTAAGATGACAGAAGAAGAAAAGATTTGTTACATGGAAATGATTGCGGATGGTTCAATATCATGATTAGGTTATTTTAAGTTATGTTTTTTTGTAGTTTTTACGAATAGTGAAGTTGACTCTTTGCACATTCTCTATTATACATAGTTATGTTTTTTTAGTTGTTAGGAATATTGAATTTTACTTTTTGCATATCCTACATTGTACATAGTTTGTGAATAGTATGATTTTCATATTTATTAAAATATATTTGTAAGTTATTTATTTATATTAGAAATATATTTTCCAATACAAGATGTATATAAAATAATATTAATTGATTAGAAAATAAATTATTTGGTAACAATTAATGTTAAAATGAAAAATTAAAAACATAAAAGATGTGTATTTTCACTAATTAAGATGTAAATCATAATCCATTTTTACAAAACATGTTGTTTGAAATGAATAAACAAGGTAAAAAAAATTCATTTCCATTTCATTACTTGATACAACCAAACAAGAGAAATGATTCTCAAAAACATTTCTCTGGTGGATTCTCAATTCTACCAAACAAGGGAGTTATTTCTCTTTCTCTAGCTTAATTCTCTTTCTCTGCATTTCCATTCTCTGCTGCAATTCCATTTCTTTGTACCAAACACAATTCAAAATTATGCATAATCAATTGAAAATTATGGCTCTGATACTACTGATGGGTTTTGTAGGTTATATTTAATACATGTGGCGAAAATAACTTAACCCTTAAGTTAACATGCAACCTACTTTGGATCTAAGTTTTCTCTATTGAAAGGAATAAACAATTGAACATCATAAACCCTAAGGCAAGCCTACTATAATCGAATTACTAGGATTAGGGTTTACATATCTCTTTGATTATTATTGTAAATAATCGAGAATTCCTTTCTTCAATTTGCTTGGAAAGCCAACACCAAAATTATGATGTCTCCAATGGTTTGTACCCAAACCCTAGCAATGGAAGACTTGAGAGGAGATGAAAGCAGAATTTCGACTCTTCTAGCTCTAGGTATGCATGTAACGAAAATAGGGAGTCCAAGTAGCCCTATTTATAGTTGATAGAAAAACCTTAGATAACCCTAATTTGAAATAAAATAATATTATTTTAAATCTGACTTCATCTAGTTTGCTTATTATCCGCATGGGACATTCTAGAAACCCTAGGAGGCTCCTAAATTTCGTTCCCCTAGGAAGGATCTAGAATCCTTCGAATGTTCAACTATTGAACAATTACAGCTTAAGTCATTGCACTTTTAATTAATCCAATTAATCCCAATATCAATTCCAATTAATTTTTGATTAATAATTAATTAAATAATAATATTTGTAGTTAAAATATTAATCTCATAATATATTAACAAACCATCTATTTCTATTTATTAATCATATAATAAACCAATAAATCAACCTCTCTCTCTCTCTCTCTCTCTCTCTCTCTCTCTCCCCCCCCCCCCCCCAAAAGTCATTTCGTCAATTACTAGTTTTGAGGGCAACCCAAAAAGGGCTTTGCTTTTAATTCACGTATATACCAATTTAGTTATTGGCTTAGACACCTAATCCAGCATAATGTACTTACATTGGAAACAAAGATTAGAGATCATTCATGATCAAGTTATTCTCAAATCACCCTTGATGCAAAGGTGCACCAAAATACATGACATCACTATGGGAACATGATTTTCACATGGATAATAGATTAGAATGGAATGCATATTCTAGACATAACATCAAACTCATCTCATTGTTTGAAACCAAAAGTGTTGATCTAGAACACTTAGGGTTTGTAAATACCTAAATCATAACATAGAGTCTAAACTTGAATCAAACCCTAAAAATCTCACCATTAGTCATGAATTAACAAATGGGCCATGGATTTGAAAATGCATAAGTAATCCAACCACAAGTCGAAGCTCATATCATTACTTGGAACCATAAATTTGAATCAAGCAACCCTATAATTGAAAATACCCAAATTATCACCATTCAAACTAGAACTTGATTCAAACATCATGGAAATTCACCATATGTAAAGGGTTGACAAATGGATCATTGATTGAAGGGAAAAGTACAATCTAATCATAACCTCGAGCTCATATCATTTCTTGGAGCATTAAGTTTGGATTTGAGAAGAAAGGGCTTGAAAACCCATCCAACATCCTCCAGTTTCACAAATATCACAACCATTTGTTGGTTGGAGCTTGGAGATGGATTAAAGAAAGAAACTATAACATTAATCTCATATAAACATCACCAATAAAGCATGAAATTCAATTTTTTTAATCCAACAAAACCCTAAATCAAATTTGGGAAAAAGGGGGAAGAATTCTACCTTTCAAGCAAGATGATGATGAAGATTGATCAAGAGTTCAACCAAGGACTTCAAGCTTCAAACACTAAAGGAATTTGGAGGAAAAATCAAGTTTAATGGGGAAGAAATCGTTGGAAACGAGTGGGGGAAAAGAGGGGTAAAGAATGAGAAAGAAAGTTGGAAATCGTTGTTATAATCAGTAAGCGTCGAAAACACGGTGCGTCGAACAAATGGGTATGGCGTGTCCTGCAAGTTTGGCAAAGTTGACAGTTTTGGTCCCTCTTCCTAAAATCTTTTCAAAAATGGTCCCTAAGCCACCTAAAACTCATATTAGCTCAAAAATGCTTCTTCCCTGTCTTAACTTGTACCAAATCAGTCCTAAGTGTTTATTTGGTCAAATTCTCGGGGTCAAACATAAGTTTCTCTAAGTTATTTGTCCCCTTTTTTACAAAAGCCTTATTTAACGCCAAATTTTCTATTATATATTTTTTTAAAATTAATGACAAAGTTATTATTGTTATTGTTCTAAAATATTCATTTCGTTTATTAATTTATTTCATTTTAAATAAAAAAAAGTCTTAGTTTTACCAAAAAGCCGAAAACTTCCAGCTCAAAAAACAAAATGTTACAGTAAAGCATTGCATTCAATCCATGTAGAGCTAAGAGACCACCAGGTCACACGTCTATCATGAGTTGTTGCCTGCAACTTCTCTATATGTTTACTTTCCTCCTAACATACTTATACATCAATTGTTAACATCATTATACATAGGGGTGAACATGATAATTTTATAAAAACAATCATACCTGCTCAACATCAAGAAACTTATCGCATTGTTGCTTCTTTAAAGTCCTACATTTGGACAATCCAAAAGCCCGAGGGATCATATTCTGTTGTCGGGTAGCACACAAATTGCTGACCGGAAAACTCTCTAAAATCCATATTTGAAAGAATCATATATCAAAATATTAGCAAACATTATGTATCATCCCTAAAATATTGAATAAATATTTCATTTTTAAAACAGAGAAAACCATACTATTAAATCATGAAGTGTAACATTCAGTAATTTTGATAACATAAAACAAAGTAATAAATTCATAAGTGTGGGACATCTCAAAATCATAATAGCATATGTGATGCAATCACGCCATGGTCTTCCAGTACTACCAAAATGACTTGCAACATTTAAACTTAAAACTGCAAGCACAAAGCATAGTGAGCTCCTCAAAATACCATATATGAAATACATATAACGGGACCTACCCAACAAGTACATAAATAGGGCTCACCCAATAATCAGAACGGGTGCCACCAATGGGCCTCACCTAACATCCATAATGGGTCCCACCCAACGGGTCTCGCCCAAAATACATATTGGGCCACATCCAACATACTTAACGGGCATCGCCCAACATAGATAACGGGCCTTGCCCAACATACATGCAAGAGTCACAATGAGAACCTAGCATCCTACGTAGCATGGTGAAAAGACTCACCTGATCAAAGAGTTGAAATCCACTAGCCAAAATCCAATGAATCAGCTACCCGATCCGTCTAACCAAACAGAGACTAAACCTTAGTCTAAATCTCAAAACCCATCAATTTGACTAAAAGTCAAACTAGTCAAGACAAGTCCCAATGGTCCAAGTCAATGGTCAAAAAGTCAACATCTACTCAAAAAGCATGCCACACTTTCTTCTTTATGGATATACTCTTTAAACCACCATCCATGCAACCAAAGAAACCTTCTTGATCTTCAAACTTCACTAAAATACCCAAATAAGCACCAAAAATGATTCAATGAGATAGAATAGGCTCCCTATACTCAAAGGAGGCTAGGGTTTCACTCAAGGAACATTCTAGGATAAGCAGAGGTTGAGAAATGAAAAATCGCAGGGGTTAATGTGTTGGATTAGTGTCTAAGTCCATAACTATATTTGGTATGTACTTGACCCAGTTGTGCATGGTCCTTTTGGGTTGCCTTCACCAAAGCAACTTGACTGAATGAATAATATAGAAAGAGGTGATTATGGTTTATTAATATATTATAAGAAAAATATATTAAAAGAGAAATCATATTTGTTTAATTAATATTGGTCAATAATTAATTAAGAATTAGTTTTGTGATCAAAAGAAGTTAATTGAACTTAAGGGGCTGAACTGTAATTATGTGATAGTTACAAAGTAGGGCAAGGAAACCCTAATAGATAGGGTGGACGAATTATAGGGGATAAAGCCTAAAGAATTCGTCCATAGGGATTCTAGAATTATCCTTGGGCTGCTTGGTGGCTAAGTAATCAGATAAGGATAACCATTGACACCCTAATTCCTACACCTATATAAAGGACCCCTAGGCATGGGAATTTCGGCCGCTTGAACCCTAGAAGTCCTAGAGCCAAAAGTCTCATCCCCTCTCTCTCTCTTGTTTCCTCCAATTGCTATTGGTGTTTGTGATTCATTAGAGGCACAACACTTGAGGTGCTAAGGTTCTCAAGGCTTCAAGATCTTCAATCAATAACAAGGTAATCATCTAGATCTGTTTACATATGTTAATTTTGAATATCATATGCTAGATCTAGGGTTTGAAAGTCTTGGATGAATGCATGTACAATAGAGAAACCTATATCCAAGCATTAGGGTTTGCATGAGCACATAGGATGTTCTTTTGGCTCAAACCCATCAGTGGTATCAGAGCCTGGTTTGGTTTCTATTGTATTGATGCCTTGTATGTTCATTTAT